ACCCTGCTTGTATTTCTAGCAACTAATATATTTTCTGACTTTGAGTTTTGGCCTTGTAAACAAGATTATCAATACATAAAATTATATTTGTGTTCAATGAGCACATATTTGTATTTTACAAGCATGTATTAAAATTTACGATTTTGTATTTCATTCAAGGACACATCTTAGGTTCCATTTTCATAAGAACTGAAGTTTAATTTAAGATTCCATGTTTGGAACTGACATATACATAACATTTGAACCCATAGATTTCAAATTTTTCTCCCTGCCAGCAATAATACTAAAGCATGTTACATATTATTATAGAACTGTTATTCTTTATAAGTTTTGGTATTAATTGCTTGAGGTATTATAATACAAAGATCCCATATTTTTGAGATGGTTGAGTCCCGTCATGGTTTTCTAAATGGGGAATGCAAAGTTCTTTGTGAGTGAGTGGGAGCCACTTTCTATTGTATTATAGTACTGATTTAATTTCACAAGATCAATGGCAAAAACATGACTGTTGTCAAATCTCTAACCAATACTGCATATGTTTATGCAAAAAGCAGTCTAGTATAGTGATTAAAGACTAAGACTCTGGAGTCAGATGGACATATGTTGGAATCAGCTCAGCTTCTTATAAGCTGTGTGTCCTGGAAAGTTATTTAACCTCTTCAAGCTTAGTCTCCTTATAATAAAACTAGACCTATCATGGAACGTGGCTCACAGGATGGATGTGAGGATTAAGTGAAATGATGCAGGTGAATGCTTGGCAAAGTTTCTAGCAAATAATGAGTACTCAGTAAATACCACTACCAATACTAAAGAAGTCAACCATGGTCGACCAGATGGATGGAATATGAAGCTGCATGGAAAATGTTAAAGGAATTGTGGTAGATGCTCTTGGTACTTAGCCTAGAACCCTTTACTCATTCTCTAGCTGCTGTGAATGTTGGCTGTGCATCATGGCTGCTCCCTCAGCTGAACAAGCAACCTCACATTGCCCACCCTCATCCCCGACCTGGGGGAAGACTTTAGCCAGTGACTTTCTGATGGCTGTGGGGGTACAAAAGGCTGGCCTGCTTGCCCACACATGTGACCAATTCTCCTCTGTTTAGGAAACCCAAGCCAGTCGTTCATCAGTATTCACCCAGATCTATGTGAAATGACTTCGCATACCAAATAAGTCAGGGACAGAATGACTCAGCCTTCCATGTGGAAGTCTCCAAAATTCTAAAAAGGGAACTTATAGAAAGACAGCTGCCAGGCCCATACTGAGACTAAAAGTTATATTAATATGTAGTAATTAAAGTGTTACTAAAATTTAATTCCAAGCTTTCTAGTGTCTAAAACAAAGAGAAGAGACACATTCAGACACATGATCAGCTTTAGTAATAACTTTTGAAAGTATGCAATGCTTCAGTACTTTGGTCTGATAAGAATTTGTCATGTGAGTCTTCATATGAAGTACACTGACTGGTAATAGTGACTGACATGTGCAATTGTATGTGTTTTTTAAATAGTCTTTTGTTATAGCATATTCACTGAGGGCTTTAAACTCAATTGCT